TCTATTAAGATCATTCATGAATTTCTGATATGACATTGAGAAGTTATTGAACTTTATTCTTTTAAAAAGCGACAGGCGTATCACGCGCTCATGGCGCAGCTGTTTATTATATATAATTTTATTTTATTGTGGCTTTTGTCATCTCAGTTAAAAAGAAAGTTATTTTAACAGTCAAAATTAAAATAAAGTAAGTTATTTGGTCAATTATGGTTTAGACTGGTCGAGTATTGTTCATGTTGTTTAGATCTTGGGTCAAGTATTAAAGATTCAGACTGGTCGAGTATTGTTCGGACCTTTGGTTGAGTATAGTTTAGACTGAAAAAATAGGTTGAGAACTGGTCATATATCATGAGTATTGGTCGAGTACAGGTCGAGAATGGGTTAAGACTGTTTCAGACTAGTCGAGTAATAGTTCAGACTATAATTAATAGAAAAGATAAGGGTCAATTAAAAATCAATTTCCTCAATTAAATGTTCTGACATTTATACACAATGCTTATTACCAAAAAACACAGATCAAGTTTGAATTTTGGTATCGTTACTTTGACCTATCTTGAGTTATATCCCTTTATAATGTTGTTTGCAAGCGGGGGCATCATCTGTTCCCCATGGACACATTCCCAATTTATATTTTATCAATTTTGTAAAATTATAATTTTTATTGCAGATACGTATACAGATACAAGTTTTTGGCCCATCACTGAATTGACAGAATTAGGTGATATAAGCAGTGTTCAGTCACCAGCTTTCCTAAATGAGCATGATGAGACCAATGAAAAAATAGAACATTTTGTTGTGTTAGATAAAGTCTACCAATACGATCCAAATAACAGCTTGGAAGAATTTGTAACAACCAAGAGGGAAGAGCATTATTCCGCACTTAAACAAAGTTGTCAGAAGCTTGTTGAAGACCCTTTATATGAACAGGTTGAATTTATGCGCTCTGCTGAAATTATAAGATATATATCTGTTTATGATAGTGACAATCCTGGAATAAAGTTCATTTGTACGATAAAAAAGAATTACTTGGCAGAAGTATTTGTTCATGGCAAGAGATTAAGTGATCAACACGACCTTTGGCACACATTACCGAGAAAATTCGTTATAATTCAGCAGGTCGAATGTCTTTTGAATGTTTTGCTTAAGTATGATGTATGCATTGGTAATCCAGATGAAGGACTACAGAAATTATGTTCAGGAAAAATGGCGTATGTTGAAACAGGTTATGGAGCTTACCGTGGTGACTGTGCTTACCAAAGTACAATCCGAACCATATCATGCATATTATTGACTGACAGGTGGAAACCAAGATGTAAGAGTTGCATTACCTATCGTAAAACTGTAAAAAAGCAAGAAGCTAGAAGCAAACTTAAAACACCTACATCAAGTAAAAATTGGTTAACATCCAAAAAAGGAAACAGTCGATTAACTAATTCAGAGAAAGTGGAAAAAATTAAACAGTTAAAAAACTACAATAGTAACTTAGAAAGTCAGGTTACAGCACTGACGAAGAAAGTTAAAAAGTCCATTAGATCTGATGGTGTATTGATTAGTGCAAATAACAGTTCTAAAGATATGGTAAATTTGATGACATCGTGAAAATATTGTCAATGAACAATTTCCAGATAAAAACTGCCAATATATACATGATATATGTTCCTGATCTGTTGTAATATATGTTTGTTATTTGTTAAATAAATCATAAATATTTTAATTTTAAGTGGGTACTTGGGAATTCTTGAAACTTTACGCAGAAACTAAATACATAGCCTTGATAACTAATTTTCGAATTAGATTAAAACATTTTTCATCAACCATGGTTAAATCAATGAGACAAGGCTTTCAACTTCAAGTGATAAACTTGCCTTTAATAACTAAGCCTTGTTATAACAGCTATGTAGCTTATTATATGAGACACTTGGGAAATACCGGGAAGCTTGAGCAGAACCTCATTGTATGCTCTGATCATTATTTTTATACAACCCCAAAAAAATTTGTTGGTTCGTATAATGCTATGATGATGTCATTGGTGTCATCGTTGTCGTTGTCCAAAGACACGTTTGGTTTCATGACAATAACTTGAGTTTAAGTAAATGGATCTCTATGAAATTTTACAAGAAGGTTCAATACCACAAAAGGAAGGTTGGAATTAATTTTGGGGGTTTTGGTACCAACAGTTTGGGAATTAGGGGCCAAAAAGGGGCCAAAAACAAGCATTTATGTAGTTTCTGGACAAAAACTTGTGTGTAAGTGTATGGGTCACTCTGAAATTCTACCACAAGGGTCCATATCACAAAGGGAAGGCTGGGATTGAGTTTGGGGGTAATTGCTCCAAACATGCAGGAATTGAAAGGGCATATTTTTTCTTCTTCGAAATTTTTAAATTTCAAATTTTTTAAAGTTTCAAGAAGAAATCTTCAATTGCAAAGTATTGCGCAATAGATTTTAAAAATCTTTTACCACATTTATTTTCAGTGGCGTAGCAAGGCATTTTGTAAGTAAACGCCCAAACCTCATCTAGGGGTATGAACCCCCCACCTCAAGCCACCCCAGGGCAGAGGACCTTCGGGTAGGGGGCAAAACCCGCAGAAGCTCACACATTATCGTAAAAAAGATACTGTCATTCATAACTAGGTCGGTGGAAAACAAAACTTTACTTCATAAGAGAAAATTTCAGCTTCCTAGTTGTGAACTTTCCATTTCCATGTACCAACATTCCAGTAGAAGCTGCATATTGAGTATGTATCTCCCAGTTGATATGCTACACTATGCTTACCTTTCTTGAGCACCTGAGGTCAACCCCGCTTTTATGTGGGGTTCGTATTGCCTAGTCTTTAGTTTTTTATATTGTCTTATATGTACTGTTGTTGTCTTTTCGTTGTCTTTTCGTTGTTTTTCCTCTTTTGAAATGGCATTGCCAGTTTGTTTTCACCTGATGAATTTGAATATCCCTTTGGTATCTTTCGCCTCTTATAGATGGTGAGGTAACATATTAACATAACTAAATTGCGTCAAACAATAGTAATCTGAGTAGAATATTCACAGTACTAGTAGATTCGAAGTTTGACAGAAAATGAACAAATATGGAATATGATACCATTTGATGAAAAAGTAAATTTCATCATTTTTATCTTCAATAACGAGTCATCTAAGAAAGAATTACAATTGCTTGTGCGCTTAAACCAGTTCCTTTAATTAAACGTAAACGTAGCTACGTGCCTGATTTTGTGTCAGAAACCTATATTATGTAAAAAATTTGATCACAATCCAAATTCAGACAGTATATCAAGCTTGAATATTGTGTCCAAACTTGCCCCAACTGTTCACTGTTGGACCTCTGCGGTCCTATCAGGCTGCGCTGAGGCTGCGCTGAGCGAAGCCTTTTATTAGCAATAAATTAAAATACATTGTGATTAAGCATGATGTATGTCTGTGCAAAGGCTTTGAAGTGATGTAGAGAGGCTGTAGTGACACACTTTAGTTATTACACATGTTACAGACAAATTTGCTTTAGATTTGAATTTTAGTTTATTGAATGACCTTTTGTCTGATTTTTAAACTATACTGTAAATTGTAAAAATATTTAATAAGCTCTTGCCGCGATATAGCCTTTTTGTGCTCATGCTGTGTAAAGCAAACACCGATCAATCAATCAATCAATCAATGTTACAGGCATATTTTTTCCTGTAATAACATAGGTGTACTATGCATGATTGGAAAACTATGAACTGTTATATCTTTCTATACTTTAGTATACCGTACATAAAGACAATAATAATATCAATAGAAACTGTATACATTCGAAGGGGACTTTAGGTTTGCACTCCGTCTGTCTGTCCATCCTTTAGTCCGGCAAATCAGTTTTTCACACTTTTTTCTTCATGCTTCAAGATATTGATTTGATATTTGGTATATTGTTTTATCATGACAAGTTACAGATCAAGAATTTTGTTCTGGTCTGATGATTTTGTGCAGAGTTATGGTCCTTGGACTTATAAATTTCACTCAAATAATCAGTTTTTGGCACTTTTTTTGTCATGCTTGAAGATATTGATTTGAAAATTGGAATATAGTTTTATCATGACAAGTTACTGATCAAATTCGGTTTGTTACGGTCTGATGATTTTGTGCAGAGTTATGGTCCTTGGACTTACAAAATTCCCTTAAATAATCAGTTTTCCACACTTTTTTTGTCATGCTTGAAGATATTGGATTTAAAATTAGTATGTAGTTTTATCATGCCAAGTAACAGATCATGTTCGAATTTTGTTTCAGTCTGATGATTTTGTGTAGAGTTATGGTCCTTGGACTTACAAAATTCACTTAAATAATCAATTTTCTGCACTTTTTTTGGTCATGTTTGAAGATATTGACATGATATTTGTTATATAGTTTACACCATGACAAGTTATAGATCAAGTTACAATTTTGTTCCAATACATTGTTTTTTCCTAAAAAAAAGATTCCCAAATTGAAGAAAAAAATATTCTGTTCAAGCAGACGACAAAAAATTATTCTGAATCCATACTTTCCCCACATTTTCTTGACCTTAAAGTGTTAAATTTTGAACAAAATAATTTGATTGATAGCGTTGAAAACTAAATTAAATTGTTCGTGCTTTGCGCCAAAAAAAAAATGTTGTTCTCTTGCTGCATATTGATAAAAAGAAATTGGAAAAAAATCATATACAAACAAATCTAAAGATCTTTCAGGTCAAAAATTTCTTGAGTGTTCCGCATAGTCATTAGCCATTTAGTTAGCATGTTACAAAGTCCCAAGATATACATACCTATTTTTCACATTTCTTTTTTTGAGTACTCAAGTCTGCTCATGTCATGTAATCTTTCAATATAGAAATATTGTCTTTTCGTGAATATCACATTTCAAATTCATGTATTTGGACTTCTCAATCTATTCACATTCACATTCATTTTTTACACCAGAATAATGTCCAGTTGAATTTATCAAAAGGTTTATGTCTTTTTTTTTGTTCCTTACAGAGTCGTGCAAGAACTCACATACTGGAGATAAACATAATCAATAAGATGTACGAGGGAGGAGAGGATTTAGTCACCATCAATGGTACTATACAACGACTCATAAACACACAGATTGGTAATACACTTCATGAATATGATGTTTGTGCTAGAGAATTTAGTCCAAGTAGTGACTTTAAGAAACAGGAGATAACACATACAAGTGAAAAACGTTATAAATGTGATGTTTGTGCTAAAGAATTTGGTCGAAGTAGTCACTTAAAGAGACATGTGAGAACACATACAAGTAAAAAAAATCATAAATGTGAAGTGTGTGCTAGAGAATTCACCCAAGGTAGTGACTTTAAGAGACATGCAAGAACTCACACGGGTGAAAAACCTTATAAATGTGATATTTGTGCTAGTGAATTTTCTCGAAGTGGTGACTTAAAGAGACATTTGAGAAGACATACTGGTGAAACACCTCATAAATGTGATGTGTGTGCTAATGAATTTACTCGCGGTAGTGACCTAAAGGCTCACATGAGTACACATACTGGAGATAAACCCCATGGCTGTGATTTTTGTGGTAAACGGTTTAGTCATATTAGTAGTTTGCAGAAACACATCAGAATACATTCAGGCGATAAACCTCATTGCTGTGATGTATGTGGTAGAAGGTTTAGTCAGCATGGAAATTTACAGAGACACATGAGAACACACACAAATAATGAACCTCATGACTGTGATATATGTGATAAACAGTTTGATCGGTATAGTAGTTTAGAGAGACACATGAGAACACATACAGGTGATAACAATCATGACTGTGATGTGTGTGGCAAAGAGTTCAGTCGACCTAGTCATTTACAGGCACACATGAGAACACATACAGGTGTTAAACCTCATGAGTGTGATGTATGTGGGAAAGGGTTTAATCATCTTAGTAATTTTAAAAGGCATATGAAAATACATACAGGCGAAACATGTAAACCTCATAATTGTGATATATGTGGCAAAGTGTTTAGTCAATCTAGTAGTTTAAAGAGACATATGAGAATACATACCATGCATACAGTCGAAACATGTAAACCACATTATTGTGATATATGTGGGAAAGGCTTTAGTCATTTTTGTAGTTTAAAGAGACACATGAGAAAACAAACATGCAATTTACCTTATGACAGTCATGTATATGGTACAGGGTTTACTCAGCATTGTGATAAAGAGATTCACATGAGAATACATACAGACAATACACTTCCTAGCTGTGATGTATATGGTTAAGGGTTTATGCAGCATTGTGATGAAGAGATTCACATGAGAATACATACAGACAATACACTTCCTAGCTGTGATGTATTTGGTTAAGGGTTTATGCAGCATTGTGATGAAGAGATTCGCATGAGAATACATACAGACAATACACTTCCTAGCTGTGATGTATTTGGTTAAGGGTTTATGCAGCATTGTGATGAAGAGATTCACATGAGAATACATACAGACAATACACTTCCTAGCTGTGATGTATATGGTTGAGGGTTTATGCAGCATTGTGATGAAGAGATTCGCATGAGAATACATACAGACAATACACTTCCTAGCTGTGATGTATTTGGTTAAGGGTTTATGCAGCATTGTGATGAAGAGATTTGCATGAGAATACATACAGACAATACACTTCCTAGCTGTGATGTATATGGTTAAGGGTTTATGCAGCATTGTGATGAAGAGATTCGCATGAGAATACATACAGACAATACACTTCCTAGCTGTGATGTATTTGGTTAAGGGTTTATGCAGCATTGTGATGAAGAGATTCACATGAGAATACATACAGACAATACACTTCCTAGCTGTGATGTATATGGTTGAGGGTTTATGCAGCATTGTGATGAAGAGATTCGCATGAGAATACATACAGACAATACACTTCCTAGCTGTGATGTATTTGGTTAAGGGTTTATGCAGCATTGTGATGAAGAGATTTGCATGAGAATACATACAGACAATACACTTCATAGCTGTGATGTATATGGTTAATGGTTAAGTCACCATGGTAATAAAGAGATTCACATGAGAATACATACAGGGCAATACACATAATGACTGTGATGTTTGTGGTTAAGGGTTTAGTCACAATGGTAATAAAGAAATTCACATGAGAATACATACAGACAATACACTTCATCATGTTCATAGCTGTGATGTCTATGGTTAAGTGTTTAGTCACCATGGTGATAAAGAGAATCACATGACAATACATACAAAGCAACATGGTTAAGGGTTTAGTCGCCATGGTGATAAAGAGAATCACATGAGAAAACATACAGCCTTTACTTGGCAATACACTTCAAAACTGAGATGTATGTGGTTAAGGGTTTAGTCACCATGGTAATAAAGAGATTCCCATGAGAATACATACAGGGCAATACACATAATGACTGTGATGTTTGTGGTTAAGGGTTTAGTCACAATGGTAATAAAGAGATTCACATGAGAATACATACAGACAATACACTTCAACATGTTCATAGCTGTGATGTATATGGTTAAGTGTTTAGTCACCATGGTGATAAAGAGAATCACATGACAATACATACAAAGCAACATGGTTAAGGGTTTAGTCACCATGGTGATAAAGAGAATCACATGAGAATACATACAGCCTTTACTTGGCAATACACTTCAAAACTGAGATGTATGTGGTTAAGGGTTTAGTCACCATGGTAATAAAGAGATTCCCATGAGAATACATACAGGGCAATAGTTTAGGGTTAAGTCACCATGGTGATAAAGAATCGCATGAGAATGCATACGGGTAATACACTTCATGACTGTGAGGTATATGATTAAGGGTTTAGTTACCATGGTAATTTACAGAGATACACAAGAGCACTTATTGATTGAAAATCTCATAAATGGCAATATGTGGAAAATAATTTTTTAGAAGGGGTGACTTTTAAGATTCACATTAAAATACAGACTGAGGAAGAAACTCATAAATTGGTTTTTTTTTTGTTTTTGTTTTGAAGAATTCTTTTTTAGTTCATCTGGCTGTGCAATCATGGTCGACATGGTTAAAAATAGACAATAGTGGTAAAATGCAGTTTTTATACGCCCGTTTAAGGGACGTATTATGGTATACCGTTGTACGTCCGTCTGTCCGTCCATCCGTCGTCAACATGTCGGACATTAACTCAAAAACGCTTTAACCAATTTGCTTAAAACTTTGGTGAATTGTTTATATCTATTGACGTCAGCTCCCTTTCGTTTTTTATAAATTTTAGATTTTATGTTTCCGAGTTATGGGGTTTTATTCATTAAAAAAGGGGGATTTTCCAGTTTTCGGACAATAACTCAAGAATGCTTTCACCAACTTGCAAGAAATTTTGGTTAATTGTTTATATCTATTGACATGAGCTCCCTTTGGATTTTTATAAATTTTAGATTTTACGTTTCCGAGTTATGGGGTTTTATTCATAAAAAAAAGGGTGATTTTCCAGTTTTCGGACAATAACTCAAAAATGCTTTCAGCAGTTCTCATGAAACTTTGATGAATTGTTGATATCTATTGATGTATTAGCTCCCTTTAGAATTTTATAAATTTTAGATTTTACATTTCTGAATTATGGGGTTTTATTCATAAAAAAAAGGGTGATTTTCCAGTTTTCAGACAAAAACCTAAAAATGCTTTCAGCAATTCGTATGAAACTTTGGTGAACTGTTTATATCTATTGATGTAAGCTCCCTTTAGAATTTTATAAATTTTATTTGTTTATAGTCTGACAACAGATTTACTAAGTATTGCGCAACAGCACAGTGTATTGCACAACAGCAAGAAATCTTTAATTGAATATAAATTCAATTCATATAACCAACTTCAAGTTCTTTGACTACATTTATTCAGAAACCTATAATAGATGTATGTCAAATATTTAATTACAATCCAAATTCAGACCTGTATCAAGCTTGAATATTGTGTCCATTTTTGCCCCAACTGTTCAGGGTTAGACCTCTGCGGGCGTATCCAGCTGCGCTCAGCGAAGCAGTTTATTGGCTTATATCTCTGAAACTAAAGCATTTAGAGCAAATCTGACAATCAGTCAAAATGTTCATCAGGTCAAGATTTATCTGCCCTGAAATTTTCAGACAAATCAGACAAGTTGTTGGGTTGCTGCCACTAGGCACTAAATTGGTAATTTTAAGGAAATTTTGCACTGTTTGGTTATGATCTTGAATATATATTATAGATAGAAATAAACTAAGAAGCAATTTTAAATGTTCTACAAATAAGTCAACATGACCAAAATTGTCAATAGACCCTCAAGGAGTTATTGCCCTTCAAAGTCAATTTTTAACAATAATTGTTTACTTAAATTTTTACAAAAATCTTCTCCTGTGAAACTACTCAAGATAAATTTAACCAAACTCTGCCACAATCATTATTAGGGTATTTAGTTTTAAAAATGTGTCTAATGACCCTGTCTGCCAACCAGCATGGCCGACGTGGCTAAAAATAGGGATTAAATGCAGTTATTGACTTATATCTCTGAAACTAAAGCAAAAGTATAATTACATTACCATTTATAACTATGTTTTGTATGTTTATATTTGTTATCCTTCACTATCTGTATCATATATGTTTGTATAAATTTGTGTTCGCTTAACCCATATGGGTGTATTTTGCTAATAAAATTATTATTATTAACCAAATGTTAGGAAACTTATACACCATGCTTATTACCACAAAACACAGATCAAGTTTGAATTTTGGTGGAGTCACTTTAACCATTCTAGAGTTATGCCTCTTTATAAATGAAAAAATTGCAAAATTTTTAGTTTCCTTTCTCTAACTTAAGTTTTCCTCAACCAAATGTTATGAAACTTATACACAATGCTTATTACCACAAAACACAGATCAAATTGAATTTTGGTGGCATCACTTTAACTGTTCTAGAGTTATGCCCCTTTATTAATGGAAAGATTGCAAAATTTTTAGTTTCCATTCTGTAACTTAAGTTTGCCCCAACCAAACATTTTGAAACCTATACACAATATTCATTACCACAAAACTAAGATCAAGTACAAATTTTTTGTTTCCGTTTTCTAAGTTTAGTTTGCCTCAACCAAATGTTATGAAACTTATACACAATGTTTATTACGTCATAATACAGATTAAGTACAAAATTTGGTGGCTACACTTTTACCATTCTTGAGTTATGTCCCTTTATAAACATAAAAATTGCTGAATTTTTCATTTCCGTTCTCTAACTTTAGTTTGTCTCAACCAAATGTTATAAAACTTATACACAACCGTTCTAGAGTTATGCTTACAAATAGAAAAATTGATGAATTTTTAGTTTCTGTTCTCTACTTAAGTTAGCCTCAACCAAATGTTATGAGACTTACACACAATGCTTATTACCACAAAACTCAGATCAAGTTCAAATTTGGGTAGCGTCACTTTTACCGTTCTTCAGTAATGTCCCTTTATAACTATATGATATGCAAGTGGGGACATCATCTGTGTCCACATGTGGACACTATCCACATTTATTTTTCTTCTTCTGCCAGAGATGTTACGTGCCCTGTTTTGTGGTGTCGCTTAAGATTTTTTGCATATGATTTGAAACTGACCCTGTTTTGTCGAAGACTTTTTATTGTAAGAGTTATCTCCCCAAACACTTATTTGTTTTAAGGCCTGGCATCCACTAGATATATATAAAAGTTAAATGCATTTTGTGTTTCAGAAAGATAAAATATTTTTTGGATTTTGATGGGCATTTTTTTTTGTTCCTGCAGAAGGTGTAAAAATAAACTAAGTTGGGATACAACTTTCAGATGCTCCCTCTCGGGTAACAACTGTATTGTACTGTATTGATTGGCATGGACAATAGATATCTTCACAACTATAGGTGAGTTAAAGGGTGTAACTGAGTGGACAGTATCAAATGCAATTCAGGTGTTTGTTTATTTTTACACCTTCTGCAGGAACGAAAAAAAATGCCCATCAAAATCCAAAAAAGATTTTAACTTTCTGAAACACAAAATGCATTTAACTTTTATATATATCTAGTGGATGCCAGGCCTTTAAACTTTTCCTACTGCACAGGTTAGTCTGTACTCAGAGTAGTTTTTGAGGTGTAAATACAGCCATTTTTTTCCATTTGTTATGATGAATCTTAAATGAAATTTGTAAATAGCCAAGAGAGAACTTTCTGTGTTGCCCGACACTGCGTAAAATTTTCTCGTGGAACCAATAACATTCAGTTTTGAATCTGGTTCCTTACCTGGAAGAAGTAAATTTCACTTAACCGGAAGTACCTTATATCTCCCGTATTATTTGCAAAAGTATAAAGAAACCATATATTTTTGGAATCAGTGTAAGTAAAGCTATCATGTGAGACCGGTTGTGACATTTTTTAAACTGGAAGATGACAATTATCTCCCTTATTCCAGGCAAAAATATATAGGAACATTTATGCTTGGATGCCAAAAGTAACTTTGATTAAACCGAAAGTAGCTTCTCATCAATAATTTATAAAATTGATGTGGAAACACCTTTGATGAGGAGGGGTGGGGGAGGGGTCACTAAGAGTGATGTTTAACACATACACTAGAGATATATCCCTTGGATGTGATTGATGTTAATGAATGTTCGCTAAGAGTGATATTTAGCATATGCTCCCTATACAAATCCTTGGTAAGGTTAACCATCAATGGACTTCTGGTTTCACTAAATAAATTTTGCTGTTTTCAAAGAACTAATAGGTGCTCTCTTGCTTGTTCAAATATCAAAATATACCGATTTGTTAATTTTATCGAATATTTACATCAAATGTAATCATTTTGTCAATGGATAGTGGATATGACAAAAAAACAACAGCATATCCAAACAACGCGCCACAGCATTCCGTATGTAACAAGATTGGACTAAAAACCCCCCAAAAAATTCAAGCACTGCACTAGGTATAGTGTTCACAAATAAAAATAAAATTAAGAATTTATGTCAATATGTCTGTTTCCCATGTAAACATGTGGTCACAAGATGTAAGATACAACCAAAAAAACAACATAATACCGAAGCAACATACTTAATACCAAAAACAAGATTGGACCAAAAACCAACTTAAAATTTCATTTAATGCACCTTCTTAAATGAAAATTTAAGTCACAAACTTGGTCTCATGAGGTGAAATAAAGCAAATCACAAACTTGGTTCCATGACATGAAATAAAGCAATTTATCAGTTGATATTGTTGAAGGCCAGTACAGTGAACCATAGTTGCTTTAACTTCACTACATTTCGACTGTTATGGCAGTCTTCTCATTGACAATGATACCATCTCCTTATTTTTTATTCATCAATCACAGGTAAATTGTGACCGTTTGAATACTTTAATGGGTTTCATGTTGCTCAGTCTTTACTTTTTTGTATTATGTGTTTTGTGTACTGTTGTTAGTCTTTTGATGGTTTTTTGATTTTTGCCAAGGCATTGTCAGTTTGTTTTTAACTTAAAGTTTGAATATCACTTTTGTTCTTTCGCCTCTCTTTTCCAACTCTCTCTGGCAAAGTTGACCTTAGATGGATTTTTATTATTATTTATCAAAAGTGCTATTTTCTTTTCTTTTAGACAAAAACAAAATCTAAAATAAATGTTTTGAAGATTTATAGAACTTGGACTGTACTGAATACGGAATACTATTTACTAGATTAATTTAGCCTGATTATCACATTGATTTGTGTCATGTCCATCATACTATGTGTTGTGTTTGACTTAAAGTTTTGTCTGACTGTGCCTTAGTGGACTGTCATATGACTGGGGTTTTGCCACTTGTGAAAATGGCATTATCCATAACTTTCTTATAGAAGGTGCTTATATCTAAGTAAAGGAGAAAGGTACTAAGATATTCAAACTCATTAGTAAAAAACACCATGATTGCAAAAAGTCTTCTTGAAGGCTTGAATAGGTGACCTCAAGTTGATTACATCGCTGTCCTTTGTTTTCTCTTTTTCGAGCAAAACATGAAAAGAGTAGCATAAAGTTTTATAAACAAGTCAATTATTATGGTTTATTTGAAATTTAACACTAGCTCTAGGTTTCTTGCACTTCACAACTGACGTCTCCTTTTATGTCTTTCGACCTTTGATGGTAAATAAACAACAATCAATCTCTGATAATCTGCAAATATAATAAAATATTCTTTATCATTTCACAATCCTGACTAATTACAATGTGTAATTGGACACATTACCTAATTTTTAATGGATCAAAGGATAATGTTTACCGTAGTCAAATGTCGAAAACCTCCTCAAAGTGAAATCGCATATCGTGAACCTCTTGATTTTCTTTGAAAAAAATATATGTTTTAAAATATCAATATGAGAAATTTTAGTAAAAAAAGGTAAAATATTCCAGAAAAATACATAATTTTAATCAGAATTATCAAATTAAAGTTATTACTTTTAAATTTGAAAATGAAAAAAAATAAACAACTCAAATTCTTTACTTAAGCACTTAACACACTCCTAAATTAAATAATTTGTAGGTTCATGCTTCTATTTTTCCTTTACATGCAAGAAATGTTTGCCACTTGACATAATGCAAACAACAATTGATCAATCAGTCTTTTTTTTCAATGGTTTTAAAGAGTCATTAGCTGTCAAATTTATGTTCACTGATTGGACTCAAAATTCTAATATTTGATTTATAATATACTAAAACCTATATTCAAATTACAAAAAGTCTAAATGAAAAAATTACAAATGCATGGACTCTATAATATATATCCGCATTTTGTGTTATAGTAGTCTACACTCTAATTAATCATCGAGATGACCTCCCAAGACGGCCAATGGCCATATAACCCAATACAAACATAAATATTAATAGATAGCGACCAAGTGCAATTGGATTTTTCTAGGTCTGTTTGATTTCATGTTATAGGTTAAAAAATTATGAAATAATAATTTTTACCTGTATGATAAAATTGAGAATGGAAATGGGGAATATGTCAAAGAGAAAACAACCAGACCAATGGGTCTTCAATGCAGCGAGAAAATCCTGCACAAGGAGGTGGTCCTCAGCTGGCCCCTAAATAAAATTGTGTGCTAGTTCAGTGAAAATGGACATCACAATAAACTCCAAAACATATAAATGAAGTAAAATTAAAAAACATACAAGACTAACAAAGGCCAGAGGCTCCTGACTTAGGACAGGCGCAAAAATGCGGCGGGGTTAAACATGTTTTGTGAGATCTCAACACTCCCCCTATACCTCTAGCAATGATTGAATGATTATTTGTGGATCGAATCAGTTAACAAAATAGTTCACCCTTGTTTCAATGTCATTGTTGACCTTTTTTTTCCTTTTAATAACAGAACACACTTTATTAGTACATGCCTAAACTGACATTAGATACAAAGTATTTCTTTTCAGCCATTGAAAATTTAATGTTGATTTCCCCTAACACAATAAAATTGTAAAGTGTTGACAGCAGAAAAAACCTTTCTTTTCTGAGACACATGAATTTTTCTTTAACCACTGACAGGAAATTTTCTGTCTTTTCTTCATTTTTTGCATGGCTTTACAATGCAAAATTTGAAGCACATATACATCTACCTAGGGTTAAAGGAACATAAAATTACAAAGCTTTGAACCACCTATGTAGCAGTCTCATTATCAATATTTACCTAGTACTTGTTAAATGTATATCCTTTCTACTTTTTTCTTGATCTGTTTTTTCTTAGCATCTGCAATTACCTGTGGTGTAGAAAATGAGAATTTAAACAAATAAAATTGCTTATATCTATGCTACATTTAATTAAGGAATGTCAAATATTCTTTTTATCTGCCATCAAGTTATTAAAAATAAAGCTGCATCATAACCTTTTGATGAAAATGGACACCACCAAATGTATACCAAGTACAGACAAAACTGTGTAACAAGAGAAGTTTTAATAAATATGTTTATTCTAAAATATTAGTGCAAAAAGTTAACATTTGCTAGATTTTGATGTGCATATTTTTTTTCATCACTTAAGGTAGATTCATGGTATACCGCCATCTTGGATTGTACAATTCCAGTACAAAATCGGTCTAGTTATTTGCCTAAATCTGCAAATTCGGAGACAGATTTACAATTTATTGGTTAGACTGTTTATTTATGTAAATAAAAATTGGTGATTTATTGTATAACTCAAAATATTTAAACAAATATCATATTTTGTTTTTTTAGAATCAATTTTTTCAAATAAGCCATTTCAGGGAAGATAACTCTTTTAGTAAAAAAAATATACTGGGCTGATAGGGAAATTTTTAATTTTTACTTGTAGCAAGAAAACAAGTTCGGTGACACCATTTTTTCTTTTTATTTTCTGAAAACATATTATAAAACCTATCTTCTCACAATTTATTTCCAAATTCTATCTCATAGATTTATTTTTATGCACACAAATGTGTTTTTTCATGAACAATCTAACCAAATTCAGGCAATTTTCAACGACTCATAGCTTGGAAAATAGCATGGTGACCCATACTTTTTATTATATTTTTGAAAAAAGCATAGTAAAATCTTCATTTTGGCAAAGTATAAGAAAATTCTATCTCAAGAAATATATACCTATGATCTACCTTAAGAATGAGTCAAAATACAGTAATTTGGGAAAAGTTTTCTGATGTTCACCTGACAGGTAATGATTGTTGTGTATTGTATAAAATGAAATGGACAACATATCTGCACAACAAAAGGTGTTTAAAATAATTATCAAATACAATTCTGATGTGTTTATTTTACTATCTTAAGTCTGTTGAAAAAAAAAAAAAAATTGTAATTTTCTGAAAAACGATCTGCACTTTAATTTTATATATCTAGGTCTTGCCATATCAATGTTCAAGTTGCACAATTTTGTATGAACAAAACTCATAACGTAAACACAGCCTTTTTTGAAAATCTTGATGGTCCCGTTCACAGTTTCTTAGTTGTTGAAATACATTAACAAAAAATCCAGTATTGCTGGGGTGAAATAACTGATGGAAGACGAAAAAAGTGAAATTGATGAATACAGATAACCTCAAAGTTTGTGATAAAATGTTAAAGGATACCAAGAGGCTATAAACAATCACAGGTCAAGAAGGACTGACAACAGTTACTGACGATACTTGAACTGAACATTGACTGAGAGAAAACATTTTTATTTTAAGGGTTGAAAAAACAAGTATGCTTGGAGTGACAAATAGTAACATCTGGAAATCACTTGTTTTGGACAAAGGTAGGTATGGACAATGCTATTATGTTATGCTCCCAAAATATTTTGCAGGGAGCATGACAAATATCAGACCAGAAAATTGAAATTGAGCAACCTGAACCCCACAAAAGCTACAAAGTCTGTTATGATTATATATATTATGTTAATTTGAACTTACTGCATTATTGTAACCCTTTGCCACAGGGGAATCTGAAAAAATAGGATTAATTAATTAGAGGTATAGATGAACTGTACTGAAAATTAAGGTTATATTTATCAATCATGGACTTTTGACAAGGTCAATACGTTATATATGGACCTGTTCGGACTATATTGACTGAGGACTAAGTCCGAGGTTCAATATAATCTAACAGGTCCATATATAACGTATTGACTGAGTGAAAGTCCTTAATTTATATATTTCAAATGTAAATCATAGTGTAAGTTTGAAAATGATATTGACTTGATGTTACTATTTTTAGTAACATGGAGTCAATATCATTTCTAAAAATAGTAATGTCGAGTCAATATGTCAAAATAGTGAAAAAATACAAGATATATATTGGAAAACAAGTGACCAAATAAACCAATGAGAAACAAGAAAAATCAAACCATATGTAACATTAGAGAATATCTAAATGGTCGGACATTAATTATGTAATCAGTAAAAATCTTTTTCTCTATTTTAGGTGGAGCTGAATTACTATATAATCTGCCTGATCTTTTTATAGAAATTCTACAAAAATACAATGATTTCTTTATTGTTGTATAAGGGCTATTCCATTAAAATCTGTGTGGGAGGGTAGGAAGGGAAGTTTAATTATTGAATATGGGTCATGGGTCTTTTTTCAGTATGTGTCTATTACCATTATGCAAATTTATCTAAAAAATGGTTCTTGGTTGTAGGGATATTTTGAAAGTCCCTTCCTACCCTCCCACATACATTTTAATGGAATAGCCCTAATTAGTTGTTTCTATTTGCTGCTGTCAATGTTGTACATTTGATTTTTTTTAATTTAGCAATATGAGAGGCCAAATCAGTTAGGCATATGAAGGTCTGTGTCATTTTTCTTTCACAAAGGATCTTCTACAAACATTTTGTTGTTAAAATAAACCATTCTTCATTTTTTTCACTTTAAAATGGTCTCTGCCAGACCTTTGTTGGGAACTAGCACTAAAGGCTGAAGTTTTGACCATTTTTATACTGTAGTCCCTTGATCAAATAACAACACAAGACAAAATAAGTGCCCAACTGGTCTCTGTCAGGTGACGACAAAAAAATAATTATTTGAAACCAGTATTTTTTTTTGTTTTCCTGTTGTATTCTTAAATCTCTTTCGAATTTACTTTGCACAAATCTGGTAGTACTGCTTTTGATTTCTCTCTAGTACTTATCATGCCAATACCTTGTGACAGTGTAGTCCAATCTATAGCCTGAGCAAAGTTGTTCAAAGATGATCCCCTCCCTATGGCCCCTTCTGGCACACTTTCCACTCTTCCCCGACCTACAGCTGCTATCTTATGTGCTCTTCCAGCTGTTGAATAATTTGGCTGACTCATTGCAGCTCTACCTGAAATGGAGAATTATTTTATACATGTTTTTACTGATCACAATAATAAAATCATGGATTTTCACATTTGCAGTTGCTGCATAACCTGAAAAAATAAAACAGAATCTTATAAACTTTCTGTTAAATACTCTTTTTGCATACTAACTACCAATCAAATATCAGCAATTGGTATGAATTTATAATAAAATATTATTGGTCCAAACCATTTCTTTAGTTGTGGTCAGATCATATATTTTCATACGTCATATGCATGATTTTTCAATGGAAATTGTGACGTCACAATGTATTCTTAATAGCACGAAAACCCACAAGTTGATGATAAGGGCTATTCCATTAAAATGTATGTGAGAGGGTAGGAAGGGACTTTCAAAATATCCCTACAACCAAGAACCATTTTTTAGATAATTTTGCATAATGGTAGATGCATACTGAAAAAAGACCCATGACCCACATTCAATAATTAAACTTCCCTTCCTACCCTCCCACACACATTTTAATAGAATAGTCCTAATATGATATATTATCACTGCAGAAGTTCTAACTTCTGCAGGAATATTCCTATTTATTTATAGGATTATTTCCTGGTCCATTTTCGAATTTGCAATTATAATTGTGTCAACTTCAGTTAAAATTTCCTTCTAAGCAAATCTTAAATAAAATTTTAAAAATATCTAATCCTACAAAAAGATAAACTATGTTGACTGATAATGAAGAAACAAGTTCTGAATGGAATGATGAAAAATACACATGATGAAATATTAATCATAGACAAAAGAAATCTGTACTCATGGTAACCAACCTCTGCCAATGCCTGCCATAGCCAGACTGTATGACAACACTTGTGATTGTTGTTGTGGAGGCTGTGCAACCATGAACTTTGACATCTTGGAATGTGGCTTAGGGAGATCTTCTTCTACCTCCTCTTTTTGTGCTTCTTGTAGTGGGTAACTGAAATGACATTACATCACTTTAGTCCCTCAAATTCAATAGTTGAATTCAAAGAGACATACCACATTTTACATAAGATTTGGTGAAATTTTGCAACCTCACTTTTGTCATCAATAAACCATACATATAACAGCTATGTATAGATAATCAGTATGTGGAGAGCAGCATGCTTAAGGGCTGTTTAAGAAAATATACATGGGACCCAGGAAAGACACTTGCTTCTATAGGTAAATACTTCATTTTCAATGTGCATATCTTGGATTCCATGTTTGTGACTTAAGGGAACACCTCTTATGTCTATAAAGATGATACCCATGCATTTATTGTAGTTACTAGTAATAAATGCATGTTTAGTCAATTTCATGATTGAATGTTCGATTGATTGATGTTCAAGTCTTGAGGGTTGCCTATAATTTCTTACATCCACTTCATTTGAACTTTGGTGGATAGCTGTCTCATTGGCAATTATACCACATCTCCTTATTTTATATTGCAGCAATATAACATATTACCAGTAGATGCATATTTCTTTATAATGGACATCTAATTTTCTTTTAACTGATCTGACATAACTTTTATAAATTTTAACATGACTCAAGTTTCATAAAACTAACTGGAAGATATTTTCTAATACGCGATTCAAACAATAGTCCATCTTATGTATAAATTCAGATAACTCAGTGTTTTCCCTAGGCTATTCAAGCATTGCGGTACCGCTACGCATAAATTTCAACCGCCATGCTTTCATCATTGCCGCAATGCATCCCGCTATGTGTGAAAATTATAACAGTGTAAAATATTTATTATCGATATTTTGTAAGCGAAGTGACAAGTGACAACACTCCACAGGTGTTTTAAACTCATCTGACTGATAATTGGATGCATCACGTCGCGCGTGCCAGGATTTTACAACCTTCTTGATTAGTTGCTTATATATCGAGACTTCGGTTACATGATAGAAGTTGCCAGTAAGCTGATAAATAAATAGACAGATTAATCTCCAATGCATATCTTTCTGTGCTTAATAAAAAAATTAACCTTTTCCAGTATAAATTTCACCTTTAAAACGGGTGTTTGACATCATTATTTTACTGTGATCATTAAAAAGTAGAAATTTAAAATTTGGTATAGTCTCGGGTATTATAAAATAAAACTAACGTAATTTCACCGAGAATTGACAAAACTTTTGTTTTAATAAAGTTTCACAGTTTTTTCATCAGCTATATTTACATCGATGAATTATTTTTTGATTGGTCACAACAATCAGTAATTTTTAGATTAGTCGCGGTTATATATTGTTTTTAATAAACTTATGTTTTTCTATTTTTATTTCAATGGGTCACATGAAGCTTAAGTGTAGAGGATTCATTTGCCGTTTTTTTTACACAAGTGGGGCTAAATTTCTTTCACTTCGGCAAGATAGGATTTTTACAATTATGAAGCGTTGTAAATAAATCGGACAGGGATGTATTTAATAAAATAGTTACAAATTGTCATGAAATCAAATGTCAGCTTAGCTTCCAAACAATGTCATCCGTATGTCCGTATGTCAGGTATTCTTCATTGACGACTTCTGTACTTAACGCAAATAAACTTTGTTTTATTGTTTCCTGTAAAATCTCTGTGAAGCAATGATGACATTCAAAGTTTTATTTAACAACTTGCTGTTGATGCTGAAACCATTCTATCAGCAAACTGAGGACACTGTTAGTGAAAGAATGTAAAGACATGACATTTAGGCAGACAATGAACAAAGCTGCCAGTCTTGGAACTTTGTATCCTTGTCGGTCTAAGTATGCAGCAATTGGTCTTCTTTTGCCAGTTTCAACAGCTGATTGTGAAAGGTGTTTTTCACGCTTAAACAGAGTTAAAACACCTTTGAGAAAAAGACTATGCCAAAAAGTGCTGAATTGCTTAATGCATATATCAATTGAAGGACCAAAGGAGGAAGATTTTGATTTTGAAAAATGTGTGGTGACCTTTGGAAAGTTGAAACAGAGGAAGATATCAACAAAATAATGTGTACATGGCATTAATTTGTAAATAACTATTGCAGACTGGATTATTGTTATTATTGTTTATAGAGTCTTCATTAATTCCTCTCATCTATAATAAATACTTTAAAGTTCCATGACTTATATGAATTGCTGAACCTATAATAAAACAATTAGATTGGTATATGGCTTGAAACATATAAATTATGTAGTTAATTCTGGAAAAAGAAGAGTCGCGTGCCGCGTTGCAAATTCACCATGCATGAAAAATTTTCTAGGGAAGACACTGTTACTTCAGCGAAATGCAGCAAATGAAAATTTATCACCACCTTGGTCTGACCCTGGGTAAGATCAAATCAGAAATATCCTGCACTAAGCAAGCATGCGATTGGCATAACAATTCACTTCATTCAAAATGTGCTTCTAAATTTGCTTATATATATCATTAAAACATTTTCATCAGTAATTGTTATTTGATGATAAAATTAAGGTGGTGCCAGGGGTTCAAATTAACATTTGGTACTAGAAGGTCCAGGACCTTTGACACTCCAAACTGAAAGGTCCACAACCTAAATTCCAGGTCCTATTTTTACTTGAAATATTTCCTAACTCAGTAAGATACACAATTAATGTGCTCTTTGTATTAGGTGATGTTTAGCTTGTTTCATGGTCAAAATCACTGTTGTTTAACATGTTTAATAATAAATGTATTATTGTCTTGTATATTATAAATTCAAATAATCTTTTTTTTGGGGGTATTGGGGAGGGTGTCACTGTGGATGGATGTGTTGTCTCAACTATTGATAATTAATTACTAATTATATCATTATATTAAACAGTTCAAATTCAAAGCTCTGTAAGTGTATCATATTTTACTGCACAGTATTGATAAAATATTAGTTCCTCTGTGAAAATAATGTAAGAAACTTCAAGATTTGTACTGGCCCTTCAAAATTGAGAAAAATGCTCCGCTGGGCGCAGCTTGATACCACCGCAGAGGTCGAACCCTGAACAGTTGGGGCAAGTATGGACACAACATTCAAGCTTGATACAGCACTGAATTTGGAATGTGATTAAATATTTGACACAGCACAGGTTTCTGACACAGAATGAATGTGGTCTGAGAACTTAAAAAAAAATTTTAATTTACCTTTTCAAACCATATCATTATTATTTGCTTTTATATATAAATCAGAAATAACCAATTTAAAATGGAAAATTTAAAGAAAAAAAAATCCCCCCCCAATTTTTTGAACCCCCTTATTATTCATCACCCCCAAAATCAATCCCAGCCTTCCCTTTGTGGTATGGTACCTTACAGTACCATTTCAGAGAGATCCATACACTTGAACACAAGTTATTGTCTGGAAACTAGAAAAATGCTTGTTTTTTGCCCCTTATTCCTAAAATTTTTAAGCAATTACCCCCAAACTCAAACTCAGCTTTACCTTTGTGATATGGAACCTTGTAGTACAATTTCATAAAGATCCATACACTTACACACAAGTAATTGTCCTGAAACTAGAAAAATGCTTGTTTTTTGCCCCTCTTTTTGCCCCCATTTCCTAAAATTTTGAGGCAATTACCACCAAAATCAATCCCAGCCTTTCCTTTAATTTGTAGTATGGTACCTTGCAGTACAATTTCAGAGAGATCCATACACTTGAACACAAGTTATTGTCTGGAAACTAGAAAAATGCTTATTTTTGGCCCCTTATACCTAAACGTTTTGGGCAATTACCCCCAAACTCAATTTTATCTTTCCCTTTGTGATATGGAACCTTGTAGTACAATTTCATAAAGATCCATTCACTTACACACAAGTTATTGTCATGAAACTAAAAAATGCTTGTTTTTTGCCCCTTTTTTGGTCCCTAATTCCTAATATTTTGAGGCAATTACCCCAAAATCAATCCCAGCATTCCCTGTGTGATATGGAACCTTGTGATACAATGTCAGATAGATCCATACACTAACACACAAGTTATGTGTGGAAGTTACAAAAATGCTTATTTTTGGCCCCTTTTTTGCCCCTAATTCCTTAACTGTTGATACCATAACCCCCAAAATCAATCCCAACCTTCCTTTTGTGGTATTGAACCTTATGGTTAAATTTCATAGAGATGCATTCACTTAAACTAAAGTTAGAGTGTGAAAACCAATATGTCTTCAGACGACGACGCCAACGTCATACCAATATACGACCACAAAATTTTTTTGCGGTCGTATAAAAATTACCTCTTGGAATTGTAGTCATATGTTTACACTATAAAAAATCTACATGTAATATCAACATTTATTAATGAGAAAGAAAATTACTGTCACATTCTATTGGATTTTGACATGAAAATTTGTGAAATAAAAGTAATTTTGAGTTTCTGTATGAAAATTTCCTGCCTATTCTTTCTTTTCAAAATATATTTTGGTTTTAAATTCTAGTGTTTATATTTCATCATCATAGATGTAGTTTGTCACCTGCCTGGAATTATTATTTTTTCATTGTATTTGATCGTCAAACCCGGAATTACCCTTATCCGCTTCGGAATAACGATCCTGTATTGTAACTGGCTTCATTTCCGGTGTATGGCACCCATTGTCTTTCAGTGTTGTTTTTGTCAGTCAGATACGATTTTACTCGGATTTACACATTACTTGTTGGCGATTTTCGGTTTAAAGCTAGCAGTTGAACAAAATGAACATGACTGTCATGAATAATAAAGATGTAAATAAATTTTGAGATCGTTTGGAAATTTTGGTTAAAAAGGTCGGCAAAGTTAATTTTTATTTTCTTTCAAATCGAAGGTCTGTCAGGCGTAGCTAGCAACCAAAACGAAAGTCCAATTGCAATAGTGGAAGGTCGCGGACCTCGGACCACCGCTAATTTGAACCCCTGGGTACATAACACTACAGAGAGACAACTCTGTAAAAATCAGCTGAACGTTTTAATCATGTTCTATTGTTAAGGAAATATTAAGCTTCTCAATGATCAAAATAAGTGTGTCAAACCTCTATATATCCAATGAATTGTTTCCGATAGTGTGGTTCAAGTTTTTTGAAATTTTGAAATTTTGATCAAAGGATCAAAGTAATTACTTTGTCAAGTTGTTTGGTACCACCTTAATGTAAAATAAAGACTGCCCATTTTGCCTGTATCTCTTATCTACATCTATATGTGTAGAATGTACTTACGTTCTCTGATCTGGGGGTAGATAGTATTGACCTCTCACAGCCTTCTTCTCGGATCTACTCATTCTGAAACATAAATGGATGTTACAACAAAGTTTACCTGACTTCATATTCTGTTGATTCATTCTTTTTTGTGGGTATAGCTGTATCACGAATTTAAGTGTTCAACGAGGTACAAAATTCCTATTGGTTTATATGCAGACTTTGGCACAACAGTAAAAATCAAGTAACCACCAAAATACAAATTTTCGTCAATCTACGAAAATTAATAAATGCAAACATAAATGAGTCAATAGTAATTGGTACCATGCAATGATAGACATTTGCATTGGTGCTTAACAATGGCAGAATTCAGGGGGCATAGAAGGGGTACTTCCCCTTATTGATATCCTCAAACAAATTTTTGCCTTTCTACACTCGCTGTAATTTTTATCGTTCGGGACAGTTAGGCTTCCCATGTCTCGAAAACCCTGGATCCCCCTGAAGAAAACAGTCTTCATGCTTAGCCACAGGCCATGCAGCCCAGGCTTGTAAAATTACTTTCGGGCCTGTAAAAATCATCTCTACTGGCCAACAGAATCTAACTAAATTTTTTCAAAAATTGAGATCTGGGCCTGTAGATTTAAAAGTTTATCATGAAGACTGAGAAAGTCACCTTTATTACTGTTCTTCAAATGGTAACTGCAAGAAGTTCATTAATGAGTTAAGGGTCTGCCTTAATTAAGCCTAGAATATGAATATGGTTCATATTTACCATCAGTGCATCACATGATCATTGAGTCCATAACAAGCATTATACCTAAAGGTCAAATGCTTTCAGCTTGATTATCTTTGTAACCCTTTTATCTTGTAAATCAAAAATTATGTCGAGGCAAAACACAATACCTTCTTTAACATTCAAAGTGTGAGTTTTAATTTGTAACTAAATTGTACCTTTGGAAATGAAAACGATTCCTACAAGTTTTGACCTCCAAAAACTGGATACATTTTTTTATATAGAGCATAAAAAATACTAAAACAGACCAGAAATATATTGGAATTATAAATGTGCTGAAAATTGAAAACTAATTAAGCTTACCCAGACAGATCTTTGTATTCCATTTTAGCAAAGTATGCTGGATCTACTCCAATTCTGGGATTATCCGGTATTTCTAAATTACAGAATAAATATAGGATCTATATCAATTTAACTGTTTTAGCAATGCATTCATAACACTAATTAGGTTTAATGATACTGTATACTATACATATTTTTGGTAAAGAAAGTGTCTCATGTACATGTATTAAACTATTTGTACATTAGAGGTGATTATTTGCAACAAAAAATACATACAGTTATTGGACAAAAGTGAGTTCCGACTCAAAAAATGTCCTATCATTTAAACTAAAATAATTTTTATTTTTTTCCAAAAAATTATTACCAAGTAACTTTATGAGCAATTTTTATAAAATAAGTACCATAAGATGTAGAAATGTTTAAAATTTATTTGTTTATTTGGCCATAATATTATTCAGGTTCACTTTTATTTTTTGACGAGATGAACACCAAAAAATATTTCTGGAAAATTTTGCTATGCATTCTAACCAAAATAAAATCGTAAAAATTTGCATTTCAACTCATCAGAAAATGAAAGCGATCAAGAAAATTATGGCCAAATATAAACAATAAAACTTCAGACATTTCTGAATCTTGTGGTATTTATTTAATATAAAATGGTCATGTAGTTACTTGGTAATATTTTTCTGAAAAATATCGAATTTAGTTGAAATGAAAAGACATTTTTTTGAATGGGAGCTCACTTTTGTCCATAACTAATATAAGTATTTAGCGGTTAGAGAAACTAGATATCTGGATGATATGAACATCCTGGTCTGTAAATTAGAGGGACTCTGTAATGAACTGTGAAAATGAGGTCAATGAACATATATGAGAGAGAAACTTAAGGTTTTAAACAATATTTATACCATAAGGAACAGTGCAAGATACCCCCATTACAGTACTGCTAAGTTTTCATGAAGTAAATGCGTGAGATTTACCGTTCCTACTCGCTTATTAGTCGGAAAATTGGGAGTAAAATTCATAATCCAGAGAGGGGGGCCGACTAATAGACGAGATCTAGCGACCAGAGGAAAAATCCAAGCTTGAGAAAAGTGGTCAGGAGTGAATTTTCTGGTCAAAACTACGTTTTTGATTGCCAAACCTACATAAATCAATAAATAAAAAGTTTTTGTTGAAAATAAATGACTTCAATACTGTCTTTGTGTTTTATTTGTTCTTTGGTAAACATTTTCTGCAAATTCGTGTTGAAATTCTACTGTTTCCGGTTTGTGTATTGATTTTCATGGTCACATGGTTTTCCTATAAACCCAAAAGAAGAGCCAAGAACCAAAAATAAAAAGGAGATAACAATGTACCAAATATGTGAAAGGATGTTTTCAGCGGAGTTATTGTGTCATTATGTGATATCATGATATCAATTCAATGCTTATAAATCATATAATAATCAAAAAATAATTTTAAGATTCATTCCCAAAATCAAAATATTATTCATTATAGTGTCTCAGGTAAACAAAAATTACAAAATTGATTGACAAGCCAATATAATCCATTGATAACCCCAATTAAGAGACAAAGAGTTGTATTCACTAAAGGTGTGAAAACTATCAGTGATAGGTAAACAGATGACACTAATGAGTTGGAGTTAGTTATTTTAATATATTGATTAGCTTCACTTAATTTTTTTAATCCTTTAATCATCACAATATAATAAGAATTATGAAGTGTACATGCTCATTTAACACCGAGTTATATATGCTGTGAAAAATATTTTCATCAAGTGTTGATTGACTTTAAATTTTTCAGGTTCAAATTGGTTTATATTCGCTTTTCTCAAACAATAGGTTGTTAGTCATACCCTACAAAATCATTGATGCATTACGTAAACAACACATGGCTAATCTAACATTTGAACAGTGAACAAAACAAGAGAAATGAATACATCTTTATTATTAACAGCAATATAAATTATCATGATGAGCATCAACTAAATTCAAACCAAACAAACATTAATGCAGAAATGAATATTATTCCTGGATTTGCATTGGTTTTACCGGCGTTCAGTTACTGTCAGCTGAAAAAAAAATGCCCAAATTTTGTCCGACTTATACGAGGGTCAAGACTAAATCCTTAGAATTTGGAGCTGAAAAGGGACCCCGACTTATAGTAGGATCGACTATTAGGCGAGTATCTACGGTAGCCAAAATTGTAAAGATCAAAGAGAAAAACAGTAGATCAAAGGAAATTGATGCCAAATAAGCATGAAAATGAGTAGGTCTCATGATAATTGCTCGAGACGGCTGCCATTATGCTCCATAGGATAATACATTACTTGTTCTTGTTCATATTCTATCAATATCTGGGTTTTGTTTTGCTTTACAATTAAATAATTTGTTCAATCTTGAGAACCATGAACATTGCAAAAGAAATAATTTAAAACCCTGAAGTTGATCTAATGATAACAATGCTGTTTTTTGTGGTGTCACTGTTCTTTTCTTCTATTATTCTTGTTTTTCTTACCTTCATCCCAGTTTTCAGCAGACCTAGGTCTACTCTGGTCTTCATACTTAGGGAGATCTGTACAACCTTTGAAATGTTTCCCTCCCTCATGGTTCTTTGACAGCTCTGAAAATTATAAAAAGAGATTGTTTGTTTGCTAAATGTCAAGGGCAAATATTGCATTAATCTTCAGGACAACAGCATTAATTAACAACAGATCTAACAAGTGTAGGATCCACAAAAGTGGGCCGAGTAATATCATTAAACACAAAAACAGCATAATTAACAAAATTGTGTTTGAAGTGATTCAGAGATGTTTTTATGACACTCTGTACATGTGCTTCGGTCATAAAATTTTCCGAGTACAATTATCATATTCAGACTCGGAATTAAATCAATAAAAATAATAAAAATCTTGAGTAAAGGTTAGCACTTTATGACTGAGAGCCTGTTATAAATATAGATATTGTGATACGATATTTATTCACTCGAGACAGTTAAATATTTAAAATTTAACTGTCGAGAGTGGATAAATATCGTATTACATGAGATTTGGTGGTGGAATCTGTTTCTCTAATGATTTTCAAACAATACGCAGGCAAATTTATTAATTCTTTTCGAATGATCTGCAAAAAGATGTGTTCTTTCTATGCGACGTCATCAGGCATGGCCGCCTTTTTTCATGCCGTCACAATAGGAAATTCAGAGGAAAGCAAGAAAATTCGACGTCATAATCGGATTTTAACCAATGAAGAACTGAGATCAAACGAACCACACGTTGATTAAGTATTTTTTATACAATGGGTGCAGAAATGGATAAATTGACGAAGAATTAGAGAATAAATATTATTACATTGGTTGCAATGAATTACATTGATTTCCCAGTGAAATAAAAACTGATAATTTCACATGTGAAATAAACATGGTTATTTCACTCCTCTGAAATCATATAACAATAGGCGTTGTCAAGACGTCAATATCGTCGGATCAAAAAAAATTGTGAATGCGTAGAAAAAGATATAGTTCCTTACATTTTCTACTTTAATTTCATAAATAGCCATTTGCCAATGTAATAAAAAGAATAACTAATCAAAGAACTCAAATAGAGAAAAATATTCAACTTGTGACTGAACAACACTGATAATTAACCCATGCGCTACGCGCATTCATGAATTAATGTGTTGTTCAGTCACGCGTTGAATATTTTTTCTCTATTTGAATTCTTCGATTAGTTATTCTATAATTAACCATGTTCACAGCTTGATAGTTTTAGGTGAAATAAAATTCAACTCCTGTATTTTGAAGTTGAACAGTTATATGTCAGACAAAACCACTTTTCAAACAATGTATCTCATCATATAACAATGTTGTGTACTCTTAATATTGTAAATTCAATAATTTCTGTGATGTTTAAACATTTGTTAAACAGTTTTTAATTTTGCAAAAATAAATACCTGCATTTAAATTTTGATAGCATTATTTGTATGTTGCATTTCTTGAAATAGCAATTATTGACCTTGCATTTTTGTCTTTTCTACAAAAATCACAACTTTGAATTAACTCAATGTACATTTCATTATCAAAAGTTTAACATGTGTGCAATTTCATCTAGCATTACATTATAGCAATATTAAATACAAAAGTAATAGTAATGGCAGTTAAAATTTGAAAAAAAGACAGGACAGAAGTTTTGAGTAAAAAAAAAAAGGCAGGAAGAGCAACTTGGCAAAAAAAAAGGCTGGATGACAATTTATGTGAAAGAGTCAGGATAAGCTAATAAAAAAAAAAAGCAGGACCGAAAAGTGTGAAAAATAAAAAGGCAGGACAGAGATTACAGCTAAAAAAAAATTGCAGGACAAAATTTTTCATCCTAGCCCCCCCCCCCCCCCCCCGAAAAAAATCAAATGGTAGCTCCCTAAATTGTTCTGATTGATTTTTAGATTGAGCAGCAATGATATACTAACCATAACTGAGTATAGGTTCTAGCATGGCCTTGTCGGGACAGTTAGCTATGTGGTATCTTATATCCCGCTTGGGCATCACATGTCTGGCATTGAAAGGACATGTGGCAAATTCTATCCCTGTGAAATTCTGAAAAAAAAACATCAAAATATAGTCTAAATATAACCACTTGGGCTGTTTTCTGCTCTTTGGTTGCTACAATGTATTTTTCTGCTCTTTAGTCTCTTTGACACATTCCCCATTTTCATTCTCAATTTTTACATATGATAATCATTATATAGACAAACAAGAATGCATGCACTGTCTTGCTAAGCATGTACTCATTATTTATTCAACGTATCTGAAAATAAAAAGTATTTATACGACAGATCCAAAAAGTGCTCTCTTTTCAACTCACCATTGTCAAGCTGCTAACCAAATATGAAATCATTCTGTTCACAAGTTTCTTAGAAAAGAGTGAAGAATATATATACTTGTTTATAAACAGACACTGAGACACAGTATTGTATTATAGCCCACATTATAAACAGACACTGAGACACAGTATTGTATTATAGCCCACATTATAAACAGACACCGAGACACAGTATTGTATTATAGCCCACATTATAAACAGACACTGAGACACAGTATTGTATTATAGCCCACATTATAAACAGACACTGAGACACAGTATTGTATTATAGCCCACATTATAAACAGACACCGAGACACAGTATTGTATTATAGCCCACATTATAAATAGATACTGAGACACAGTATTGTATTATAGCCCACATTATAAACAGACACCGAGACACAGTATTGTATTATAGCCCACATTATAAACAGACACTGAGTCACAGTATTGTATTATAGCCCACATTATAAACAGACACCGAGACACAGTATTGTATTATAGCCCACATTATAAACAGACACTGAGACACAGTATTGTATTATAGCCCACATTATAAAAAGACACTGAGACACAGTATTGTATTATAGCCCACATTATAAACAGACACCGAGACACAGTATTGTATTATAGCCCACATTATAAACAGACACCGAGACACAGTATTGTATTATAGCCCACATTATAAACAGACACCGAGACACAGTATTGTATTATAGCCCACATTATAAACAGACACCGAGACACAGTATTGTATTATAGCCCACATTATAAACAGACACCGAGACACAGTATTGTATTATAGCCCACATTATAAACAGACACCGAGACACAGTATTGTATTATAGCCCACATTATAAACAGACACCGAGACACAGTATTGTATTATAGCCCACATTATAAACAGACACCGAGACACAGTATTGTATTATAGCCCACATTATAAACAGACACCGAGACACAGTATTGTATTACATGTATAGCCCACATAATAAACAGACACCGAGACACAGTATTGTATTATAGCCCACATTATAAACAGACACCGAGACACAGTATTGTATTATAGCCCACATTATAAACAGACACCGAGACACAGTATTGTATTATAACCCACATTATAAACAGACACCGAGACACAGTATTGTATTATAGCCCACATTATAAACAGACACCGAGACACAGTATTGTATTATAGCCCACATTATAAACAGACACTGAGACACAGTATTGTATTATAGCCCACATTATAAACAGACACCGAGACACAGTATTGTATTATAGCCCACATTATAAACAGACACCGAGACACAGTATTGTATTATAGCCCACATTATAAACAGACACTGAGACACAGTATTGTATTATAGCCCACATTATAAACAGACACCGAGACACAGTATTGTATTATAGCCCACATTATAAACAGAATCTACATTATGTATAATTGCTATGTCTGGCTTTCTGTTGTAGCCGAGATAAAAATCACTCTCACAGTTTGCTTACCATAATTAAGATCAAGACCAAATATCTCAGCAGAAGCTGAGTAATGTGGAACTTTTGAGTTATGGAGAGGTGAACGGACAGACTAGATAATTGCAGTATACAACTCTCAAACATGACACATAGATCTCAACTTTTAAAACTTCCATAAGCAGTGATCTCTCTACATCCCCCGATTTTATTTTATTTTTTTTTTGAGGGGGTGGAAGGGGAGTATTACTGGTGTACCATTTACTGTGTCACTTCATAGGCCATTTACTGTTATTCATAAATGCAATTTACATATTTTATTTTAACATTTAACATTTAGTTGGTTTTTTGGTTGTTATACATAACAGCAGCTGACTGAGCAGCTTTCAAAATACTTCATCTAACAGATTTTGGTATAATTAGTGCTGGTAGGGAAACCCTAACCACAACTACAGTAAAAGTTTAAACCAACTTATTTTTCGGGAGCGATTAATTTTTGCGACTTTCACAAGTAGAAAAATAACACGAATATAAATCATCATGAATATATAAAACTTGGATCTTTCCTTATTAAACTACATCAAGTAATTAAGAAAATTGTGAAATTAAATAGCCGCAAAGTGGACTAGAAAGGGTAGAATGCGAAATAAAGTATCTGCAAAAATATAGTTGGTTTACAGTATTTCTATGCCCCCGCCGTAGCGGAGGGGGCATTAAGTTTTACCGTGTTTATTTACGCCTTACCCTTCTACATTTTATCAAATGGTACTGCAAGCGCTTGGCTGGCATTTCGTGGTTTTTGTCTAAAGGACACACAATAATCTGCTCTGGATCTAGTGTACTATAGGAGGCCATTCTAAAATATACAATAAACAGTACACAAAGTGATTCAGTTTTAAAAATCGGTAAACGGACAGAAAGTCACAGGACATAAAGTCACAAATTTGATAGGACAAAAAGTCACAAATAATTTGTTGACAATTGTTTGAATATATAAGAAAAAGATATTGAAATATTTTCTTTTTAATGCATATATTCATTTTTAAGTTAGGAAATTGTTCATAAGCCTTGATAAATGAAAATTTATTAAATTTTAATCATGCAAAGGATATATTTCTTGGCACAATGAAGCCATTTAAGTACCAATCCACTTTGACATTTTGTTTTCATAACAATTATTTGATCATTATTGATATTTATTGAATAAATTTTAATTACAAAGTTGCTTCATATATAATAGTTCAAGAAAATCAAAAATTTTATTTTCTAAATTAGTGTTTTCTTGTTTAAAGAAAAATAATCTCAAAACTCAATTGTGACTTTATGCCTGTGACTTTTTGTCGTGTGACTTTCTGTCCTACATTCTTAAAAATCATTCTTGCTGGTCACCTGTTGTATGATTTACAATGAGGGTGATTACTTAATTTACTGGTGACTGAATCATGTGTTTTACACTTTGATTTACAAGACTGTCATCATATATAGTTACATTGTATCTATGATATTATTACAATTACACAAAGCTGAAAAGGTGAATCCTCTTGATAGACATGATAGAGCAAATTGCTACCCCAAGAAAACCTTTGTGCTCGATCGTCCTTTCAGCATGTTCAGCTATGTGTTATATTTGATTTATTATACTTCAATGTTCTGCTATCATTGTCTTTTAAATTTTAAATAATGAATTACGATTTGATGTACAACCATCTGTATTTTAAGAAAGCAGGGTTTCACATAAACGGCTGTCTGTTTTCTTGGGACAAGAGAAAGTCATCATTGAGCAAGTAACAGCTTCAGTGTCCAATGGCCATGTATATATATTAAAAGTTAGAAAAGGTGAAAAATACAGATCTAGTCTAACTTACTTCTTTTTTTCCAAAACATATATATCATTTTCAACCAGTTTGACAATGTTGAAAAATTTACTTGTTTTTGATTATATAATTTTCCTTTTCTAAAGACATTTAAAAAATACTGCCCAACAGGAACAGGATAATGCACATGATGCACAAGCGCAATATTTACAACAAAAGAGTTAACTAATTTGGGCTCACTTGTAGATAAAGTCTACACTTTATCTACACTTGTAGATACTGTGGATTCATTAATATTTGATGGATACCAATTTTCGTGAATTTCTTGGGTACAAGGAAACCACGAATTTAAATGTTCAATGAATTTCAAATTTGCTGTATGATTATATGCAGACTTTTAGAAAACCACGAAATCAAATATCCACAAATATGCAAGTTTTCCTCAATTCACGAAAATTGGTACCCACGAAAATAAATGAATCCACAGTACACTTTTGGTATTTAGCTGAATTTTGTTGCAGAATGACCTTAGACAGGGTTTAAGCTAGGATTTTAAGAGCTTTAGTCACTTTTGCGCGAGATCTCGCCAACCTTATTTGGGGTAACAGCAATGGACCAAGGATGTATATTACTACATGTAGCTATACATCTTTGTCAGACTTTGAAGGACTAAGGCATTTACTAGGCAGTTACATGTATTGCACGATTTGACTGATGTGACACTTAAATATGAAGATTAGGATATAAGATCTGGAAATCTAGTTCACTATTTCATTTCAGAGGACATTCATGATCAACAAAAGTTGGGTTCCATTTTTTTCAAAACCAGGAATCACAGCATAAAAGAACTTGTAGTTGTAAGACTATTTCACTGCATAATCATTATCCTTATAAAAACATTTAAATCAATAATTGGAATTCATTTCTATAAAGTTGGAGCCAAGGAGTTGTACAATGACTGTAAACTGTAAATTAATCAAGAATTGATCCATTTACTTTCAATTTTCAAATGAAATGAAAACGGTAAATGACAAGTAGATAATAAATTCAGAATGAATCCAGATTCATCTACGGATTTGTTCATGTTTAAAAAAGGCAGGAAATTATCATCTTTTAAATCAAATTTGCTTTAGTAAGAACTAAATTTGTCTCTCTCGTTTAATTTGATACTAAATTATTTCGTTTTTATGTTTTAGTGTCAATAAATTCATAAAAATACTTTCATCCATGCACAGTATATCGTAAAGGAAGCAAAGTTCTGTTTGACTCGTGAAAACATTTCTGAACGTTTTGACTAAAGTTCTATCTTTTAAATCGAAATTGTCGAAAGTTTTTGATGAAAAGTTATATCAAATATGTTCATATGACGAAACTACGACTAACGAACTGCAAATTGTGATCATTTGAGAAATATTGAAATTAAAAAGAGAACTGTCCAGGGGATTACAATTTTGTTCAAATGACGAATCTGTGACAAATGAACTGCAAATTTTGGTCGTTTGAGAAACATTAGCAGGGGCGTAGCTGCTGTTAGGCACTTCAGGCCTACACATTATTTTTTCACAATTTTTTTTTTATTAGAAAAAATAATAAACAATGTTATCTGTAGATGCATGTGAAGTCGTCAAAGCTCTTTAATTATCGAATGTCATTTGTACACTAGTCTATCATCCTTAGTGAATCAGTGGAGTATTGGAACTGTATGTCATTATATTTCACCTTATATATGGAAACTATAAACTAGAACTTTGGTTCAGATCATTTCACTTCTATCAACAAATACTTGAATAAACCTCAACTTAGATAAATGATTTTTTTTTTATTAGTTGTTGTTCACAGTTGGCCCAAGTTCAATCCGATGCCTAGGGTAGAGAGAATGTCACGCTCTTTGCACGTTAAGAAACTTGCATCAACTCTTTGAGAGGTTCGTAGGTGGTCTACTGAAAGGCAAATTTCTGTTCCTATCCAATAAAGTTGAATAAACCCTCATTTTCCAATACATGGCATTTCCAAATTTCCAGACCTTCATCCTGGACGACCCCTATTTGTTTTAGTCCTGGACATGCATGAACTATTTGCTACTGGACCTTTTAGCAATCAATCAACTAGGTGTCGGTAACTTCGAGTACTCTCAGATTTATGTGTAATGACCATAACTATTCAGATTCCTAAGCAGGTAGGGAATTTGCAGTACAGGATATAAGGAAATATGAATTTCTTGAATTTTGTTAGATAGTATGAACAGAACAGAACTTCTGCATGACGTTTCAACTGTGTGTGTATTTGTTTGTGTGGCTGGGGGAGGGTGAAGTTTTAAGAATCAAAAGATGAATGGTCGATGCGGTCCAAAAGTTAGTACTATTATGAAGTAATCTCAGTGTTTTCATGCCTATTTTTTTTAATGTAGGATCCTCAATATTTTCTATCAATTGACGTATATATATATCAATTATACTCAATCAGAAACAGTTGTGCTGCTTAATAAAGGGCTACGCTGATCCACGATGGGCAATGCATATTGGAAATATTGATTTTTTTTATATTTCCTATTGTACTGCCGGTTAATTCATCAGTCAGATATAATTGTAGAATTATGTTTATTTTTTCGACATTTTTTCATGTATATTATCATGATAAAATGACCAGTAAATTTGATGTTTTCTAGTAGACAAAATTTTGCAACTAAAATGCTGAAAACCGTTTTCCGTCAGGGCGGGGGGCTTCCTCCTCCTGAACCATCTACCAGGGCCTGCTGGGGCCCCCTGCCGCAATTTGTGCCTACAGTTTAGTGGATACCTAGCATCGCCCCTGATTAAAATTGAAATGCAGACTGACTGATTTACCATGTTTACTGGGGAAAATAATTATGATGGTCAATAATGAGATTCATTAATAATTAACAAATTAGTGACTCATCCGATGGCGAAAGCGAATTACCTGCAATCACAACCTGTTGTAAATGTTAATTAGCTGAGGGTCATAAACTTGTCAGAAACATGACGAAAGGTAGATTTATAATATTCATGCGAAAATATTTTTACACTTTCCAAATTTAAGTGATGAAATTGATTTTAAATACTGTCGTCATTTTGAAAACCTTTTCGTAAATGATGAGCACTAGCAAAATCACTGCCTTAGATCAGCTCTGAATAACCTTCTGACGTCAAGCAACAATCACTTTTTAATTTGTCTATGACATCAAGTTTTTTTAAATTGAAAGGTCAATTTTACTGGTATTTGTACCAATTTAAGTCATGATAGATAAATTTGCATACAAGTGTTACCTAAGGTCTATACACATTATTGTTATTTAGTAATCTGTGCTGGTTAACCCCGAGAATCTGCGCCGGTTGAACTATTGACGTCATACAACAATCACTTTTCCATTATGGTGTCAGATATTTTCTATTTTGACATCAAAATTTTACAGGAACCTTAGAGATATATTCCAGTATAAATGGCGGACAAATAGCCATAAGGTGTATTGATTTATCGCTGTATAATTGAGTTTCTTACTGGTATTGACCACAGGGACTCTGTTAGCAGATTAAAATTTGTTTATCAATGTTTTTCAAATCTGTTTTCGTATTTGACTATTTCTTGTCTTTTTGTATAACATTATTAAATTATGTTTTTTTTAAAAGTAATAATTTTAGGCATCAAAATCGGGGTGCCTATAAAGTGCGAAAAGAAACGAAAAGAAACAAAACGAAACCAACATAAAATGAAACGAAACGAATTCAAATAACGAAACAACATCAAATTACGGATCACTTTAATTATTTTTTTTTTAATCCAAGTGCTGGCTGGACAGATAATTTGTTTTACCTAAATCAGGGCCAGGATATTTTTTCTAAAAAAGACCCCCCCCCTTTCCCCAATAAAGTCAAATGGTCCGTGTCTAATCGTGTCTGTCTAGTATAACATATAGAGTTCATAATCAAATATTATATATTGTGTTTAAATTCCTAAACCACAGCTTGTTAACAATTACGCTGAATTTCACCGTTTTTTTCCCCAATTTTAAAAGAAATTGTATCAAACTAGACAATACTATTTATAAATATAATCGGCTTAATATTCAATTTGACTGATTTAAATTTTATTTCTATTACGTTTCGTTTCTTTTCGTTGGTTCCTATTTCGTTTCGTTTTATGTTGATTTCGTTTCATTTTGTTTCTTTTCGTTTCGTTTATTTTCGTTTC